CTTTAAGGATAAGTCGATGTATTCATGACGATAGAAAGGCTGGGGCAGGATAGCCTTCGGGGCAGAGGGATCTGCATGGGCAAAGACAGAAAGACTTTGGGAGATCTCATGGTGCATTTTGGAGAAGTGCAAGCAGATTTTTTGTCATCTGAGTCTAGAATTGTGTGGGAAGGAGCTGGCAGGAAACAGGTTGAAGAGACTGGTTAAAGGGTCACTGAAGAGGGCCTCGTGTGCCCTGCTGAAGAGTTTAAACTGTTCTCTAGGAGAGAGTTGGGGGAAATGGAAGTGAGAGTTGGGGAGAAGCCGTAAGGGGCAGTTATTAGAGCTTTGTAAGCAGAAGAACTTGATCTCTGTTTTATAAAGCTAACTGAAGGGCAAATTTGAGGTGGAGTCTGTGAGCTGGAGAGTGCTATGATAAGGTGATTGTGATTATCTGGCAAGAGCCTGAGGGCCTGAACCAGTCAGAAGTGCCAGGAAAGGGGGAGGAATTCACCAGACGTGTTGCAGGAACAATCTGTAGGACTTGAAAGTAATTAGTTGTAGGACTGAGGAAGAGGGAGAGGCTCAGGCTGCCTGCCAAGTTGCCAGTTTATGTGATTGAAGCCTTGATTATACCATTTACCGAGATAGAAAAAAATAGTGCGAGGGATATGTGGGCTTCCAGAGGAGTGGAGATGAGTTCAGTTTTAGAGACGCTGAAATTGACAATGGCCGTGAAAGTCCAGTAGGTAGCCACATCACAGAGCTTCTTCTCTCGCCCATTTATTAGACCTTCAATATCTGAAGACTCCATTTCTGAACTGATTTAGGAGTTGTCTAGTCTGTTGAACTGATTGAGAAAGATTAAGAGAAAGTCCTGGGGGCAGAAGTGACTAGAGATAATATAGGTAATATAGATAAGAATCTTACTATGTATTTTTGTCATGTAAATCCTCTATGAAGTAGGACTTATTATTATAACATTTTAGATGTGAAGCAACTGTGGCTTAGGAAAGATTAAATGACGTGCCCCAAGTCATAGGGCTAAAAACGAGCAGAGCTGGAATTCAAAACAAGGCTTCTTAACCCGGTGGCTTCTCATTGTCATCATGGTCAAGACTATAAGCCTTAAAATAACCTCTAAGACTCTGTGGGATCTGGCCCCTGCCTGGCTTTCCATTCTCACCACCAGCCAATTTCCCTTCCTTGAACCTATCATGCTGCCTTCCACCCTGGGACCTTTGCTGTTCTTTCTGACTGGAATGTTCTTTTCAACTTCCCTCTCCCTAATTAATTTGATAATTATCCTTCAGATCTCAGCATTCTTAGAGAAGTCCCTTTGACCCCATGGAATAGGTCAGGTACCCAAAAGGAGTTCTTATAACAATTTGTATTATTCCTTTCCAGTACTTATTACAATTTGCAGTTATACATTTGTACCTCTGATGAGTTGATTAATGTGTGTCCCCTTAGTTAATTTCACCATAGAATAGAGATGGTGTCTGTTATTGCCCGTCAGTGTATCTCCAGCACATAGTATAGTATCTGGCAAAGAGCAGCTGATCAATACATATATTTTGAGTGAAAGAATGACTTCAAAACCTATGCTCTTAACTGTCCTACCATACTAGAAATGTCTTGGAATATGTCATTTAAAAGAAACACACATTTTTTTTCTAATAAATGGAAGAACTATGTATAATGACAACCACTGATAATATATTATACTAAATGAAGAATCTGATAATTTATTGACACCTCTCTCAGAGCTATGATATTGAAAATTGGCTAAACAGCCTGTAAGAAATTAGAGGATGGAGAAACCAAGATCAGTTATTACTTTGAAGAGTGATGAAGAGAGGAGAGAATTATTTATAACTGCAAAATAATTTGAGATAATTAAATAAAATAGCACATTAATGAACTTTCCTATCCCCCATGAAACTTACAAGGTATTTAAAGACTCACATATAGCCAAATAGAGAACACATAGCCTCAGATTTAATCAAGTAGTCCATGGTCCTCTGCTAGCCCTGTGTGTTTTAATAGCTTCTATTGTTATTTAGATATCATTATTTAGGTCAACAGAACAGGAAACAACTGCCATTGAAAAGATAGTTTATTATACTCACAGATCTCAGGAGAGGGAGTATGAGTTTCATCATGGAGGAGGGGTTGTGGGGGGCAAGAGAGGGAAGCACTGCGGTCCATCACAAGGCAGAGAGAGAGGTGGGGACTGGGCAAGTGTTTTCATTGTGGTTTCCGCCAGAAGGAATGGGCAAGGCAGGGTAAGTTGGTTTAGGATTGGCTAGTTTGAATAATTTCAGCAGGCTCTGGAGTATAGGGGCTGTCCCTAGTTGTGTGGCAACTGAACCTCGGGGTGATTAGGGCAGGTATAGAGTGGCCCGGAGTGAGAGAGCTCCATACAGAAGTTGGTTGAGGGTATGGGCTTCGGATTGGTTGGTTTGTATATGAAAATGAAAAGTGTGTCCTGTCCAGGGAGAAGGACTCCTCTCCAGGGTGGGTGGAAGGCAGACAACCAGGAAGGCAGGAGGCCAAGACAAGGTGACTCAAGCATATTATTGGTTTCTCTAGACCAAGGTTTTTCCAGCATGTGCATGCAGAACAGATGTTAAAGCCTCAAGTTTACAGAAGCTAGAAGCATGGTTAATACACTGTGGCTGACCCACTGGGTAACTTTTATTAGATTTACAGTCTGTTCTTCATTCCCAACAGAAATGAGGATAATAACTGACCTAATTCTCCTCTGTACTGTGGTTCCAGGGTTCTTAACCTGACTTAGGCCGTTGACTCCTGAATCCCCATTTGCCACGGAATATAGTTCAGATGTTCAGACCAAGCCTGACCGCTACAGACCACCTCGCCCTGCCTCCTTTTTTTAAAGGAACCCTGAATGCTACGCAGGCTAGACTCCTCACCGTCTGTGGAACTTACCATTCTTCTTTCTAAACTTGGAAGGCAGTTAGTGACTGAACCTAGCTCTCCAAAGCCCGAAGGCCTGGATTTAAATCTGCCAGTTAGGATCTGTGAGACCTTGAACAGGGTATTTCACTTTCCTGTGCTTCATAGTACTTTTTACACTTTATACTTGTCTGATTTATATATTTATTCCCTGTGTCCCTCAATAAGCTCTACAAAGGCTGGGATCTTGCTTCTCTTATTCATTGTCAAGTCTCTGAATCTTGCACAGACAATACAAGGCAGACAGTAGGCGTTGAGTAAATATTTGCAACCTAATGATGGACAAGTGAATTCACTAGGTGATTTTCCAAGCAAGTAGCCATGCTTCATGTTACATGAGGTCATAGAGCTCTACATGTGCGGCTTACTTTGGAGCCTTTATCCAGAAAGCATGTTTCATAACCACTGCTTGAGTCAGTACAGACTCATTCCTGTACATGCATTATATCAGCATTTACAGCTAAATCTGTAACACATAATGAGAATTGATGTTCACTAAGATGCCAGAAATTGTTAAAAATCAAGTTAAGTTGAATTTCACTATGTTGTGTTAAAAAGATAAGTATAAGTCACGTTTTAGAAGGATTTCCATCAAAATAGGAAAAACCTTCAGAACTTAGGTTAACCTTCAGCTTTTAGAAAAGCTTCCTAGCAAGACTCTTTTTGAACATGTTCTAGATAGTTTCTTTCTTTCTTTCTTTTTTTTTTTTTTTTGCTGAGGAGGATTCGCCCTGAGCTAACATCTGTGCCAGTCTTCCTCTATTTTGTATGTGGGTCGCTGCCACAGCACGGCTGCCAGTGAGAGGTGATCAGCTCTCTTTTGCTGATTGCACCCTCCTGGTGGCATTTAAAAAGTTTAAATCTGTTTTCTGTATTTCCTATAACCTGATAGTTAGAGCTGGAGGCTTGATTAGATTCAGGTTTGACTTTGAAAATACTTTAAGGGTATCTCTGTGTACTTTCAATTGCATCACGTTGGGAGACACATTATATCTGATTTTTCTCTTTTTATGATACTAAAATTAATCAGTGGGTTCTGGTATTTTACGTCAGCCTGGTCTCTCCATTCTGAAAGTCCCCATCATCCTTTCACATAATGCAGTGGTTCTCAACCCCAACCACACATTAGAAAATCTGTGGAGCCTTTACACATTTCTGATGCCCAGGTCCCACTCCCAAGAATTGGTCCAGGGTGTACCTGGGCTCAGTAATTTTTGAGTCCTAGGTGATTCTGGTGTACAGATAGGACGGAGAACCACTGACCTGATAATTTTGGCAGCCACTGAGGGTCTTTGCCTAGAGGTCCATTATTTCAGAAAAGGTTCTTAAATAGTGATATTCTATCATGCTGTCTGCACACATTAGCAGAAATTCTTCTGTAAAAACTTTCATGAAGTCTTTGGTTCTCTCTTTAGTTTGTATAGGAAAGGTAGAATGAATACTGGATTCTTATCAGTTTTCTGAATAACGAGTTGACTATCCAACATCCTACAAAGGTGACCAGTGAGTTTTGTTTATGTATTATTATGAGTTCATAGATTTTAGCATATTTGATATGTTTCAAACCATTGCAATCCTTATTATTGCTACTGTTATTTTGATGTTCAAATTGTTTGAATTTTAGCCAGTGGAATACTTTTCAAGTTAGCTCCTCTGACTTTTTTTGACATCAGTACTATTAGATTGCTTCCTTGCTTTTAAGTATGACAGCATGTTTTAGGCTCATCTTGTAGGTTTGATAATTTAGTTGCTCTGTGGCCTCCTCATCTTGTGCAATTCCTGTCCTGAACCTGGAATCAGCCATTTAATAGTTTAGCTATCTGTGTTCTATTTGGTGACGTTTTATTTAGTGGCTATGACATGATTACAAAACAGAATGGCAGATATTCATAGTACCAGTAAACTTCAACGGGTGGGAAATGGTACTTGGGAAAAAGCATAATGATTATATAATGAAAATCATTAATTTTTTTATTATTAATCCTGCAGAGAATGTTGCATAAATTCTTGGTAACCAATTGGTATTTTTTTCTCCCCAGTTAATGTCCATCAGTGTGTTGGCAGTTTCTGCTTGGATGAGGGACTACCTAAATAATGTTCTGACTTTAACTGCAGAAACAAGGTAGGCATTACAATCAATGACTGATTTTTCATCAAGTTTTCTCAGACACTGGTTTCTAAGTAACTTTGCCCTCAGTGGGTTAGATGGGAGTGCTGTTCCATGATCATTTGGAAAGTTTTTCCTGCCCACGGCAGCCTCTGTTGCAGACACTTGCATTTTCTAGCGTTATCATTAAGGTATGCCACTGGTCCTAGAGAACATTTCTGGGTGTAGTAATACTAGTCGCCTGTCCTCCCGACAGTGTGTCAGCCATGTCATATTTGTGTATAAAGGACAACAGAGCCACTTTTCTCTAAGAAAATCACTGCCAGCCTTCTTACAGGTTGATCCACTAACATTGCAAGGGGCAAATTACTTAACTTCTCTCAGCCTCGATTTCTTCATCCCTAAATAGGGATTGTAATATATACCACTGTGAAATGTCGTAAGGATGAACTGAGATACATTTTTGTAAAGTCCTTAACACATTGGAGCTTAGCAATGGTAATTTTTGGTATCATTCTTCTTCTTCTTACTATTATAGTTCTAGTTAATGATTTTTTTCAGTTTTCTAGCAAAAATATCTCTCTCCCATCCTCTTTCTTTTGATATAGACCAATTTCCCATTACATGGCAGTCTTTTACATTTTAGGGAAGGATCAGTTGTCCGGGAGAAAGAAAGTTCTGTACGTGCAGTCCTAGATCAGAGAAAAAGAGGGAGATTCTTCTCAGCTGGGGAATAGCAAAGGGTCCTGTGTGGTTTCCTCAGGCTAAGCCTTCAGAGCTAATAGTAGATTGACTTCTTATTGAGAACCCCTCTCTTATAATGTGTTTTAAATGGGTTGATGTAGGAATGCTACCACTTGTATAAAAAACTAAACAAAATAAAACAAGCAAGCAAATTGGTGATAGCACAGTGATTTTGAAAATAGCAATATAGTCATCAGCTTTGAGGCATGATGATTTAAAGGATTGTTACACAAATCACACTTGTGTCTTACTATGTCTTGGGTACATTTTGATTATATTTTATTTATAATATGACATTATTGTTTTTCTTTCAGGGTAGAGGAGGCTGTCATCTTGACTTACTTTCCTGTGGTTCATCCGGTCATGATCGCTGTTTGCTGTTTCCTTATCATTGTGGGGATGTTAGGATACTGCGGAACAGTGAAAAGAAATCTGTTGCTTCTTGCATGGGTACAGTGTTTATATCTTCTCTTTATTATGGTTAAAACGACCAACCAGTAATGTATTATTTTTTCATCAGTGCACAAGATTACGTGCTTAGGGAACTGTGAAAGCAGTACTCTAATCTGTGGTAATTGTTCAACATCCTGTGAGAAGGGAAGCGTTCTTTCCATGAGAGATGATTTCAATACAAGTATTTGCTGTACTCAAACTATGAGGTGGGGAAATATGTACACTATTTAATTATTTCACTTAGGCTATGTGTTGACATTTTCATTTCAAAGTAGGAGTTCTGGTGTCATGGACTTTATTACTACTCAAACAGGACCCTCAGGACAGGAACTAAGTCATAATAGAACTCTCTTTCTCTCTCTTCTTTTTTTAAACAAACCCACCATGTGGAAATTCAGTTGGTGAGGTAACAGACACACAATACAATCCTGGCAGTACCTTTACATAGGTTAGTGGATATAAGTAAGTCTCAGTTTCTGTAACTTAGTGTTTTTTTTTTTAAATTCTGAAACAGTTGTAGATTACTTCTTAAATTCCCTTCAGCACTCAAATTCTATGATTACAAAATGTATGATTAGACTTTTAATTAAAAAATTAGCAAGCTCACTTTTAACCTTAAAAATTTGAGTCAATTAAAAATACAGCTTATGTATAGATTTTTTTGGAGCACACTGAGTGTACAAAATGTTGCATGTTAGTGACACCAGCTAGTGAGGCTGCTAACATGTAATTGCAGACATATCAGATTCCTAAAAAATTAATTCATTGAGTATATTCCTTTCTTTGCAGTGGTTCTCAATGCTAGCTGTGCATTAATTTCTTGTAGGGAACTCAAAAAAAATTTTTAACGGTGTGCTGATATGCTGGATATCTGCGCACAAGAAAGCCCTGGTTTGTAGCATTTGAAGATTTCTGTGAGGTAAATACTCCCAGCACGGTCGATTTCAGGCTACCAACGTGGTATCACTGGATGCAGAGTTGGGGAGAGATGAACACTGATTGGCTCTCAGGAGCTGGCTTCTGCACACCAGTGCTTGACTGGCTCCCATCCCAAGCCAATTAAAACAGAATCTTAGGGCGAAGCTGAACTAAAGCTTTGAATTTCACAGGAACAACCTGTGTTAATGTATTACTTGGCTTCTTGGAAGATAACTTGTTAGGTCCATGATTGGAAAACAGAAAATAAACCACACTCAGAGAAGGGGAACATGCACGTTGTCTTCTCTCCACTTTGGTATACAGTGAGAAGGAGAATGGTGGAAGGAATTGGATGCTTATTTTGCAATTTAAGATATTTGGACAATAATTTAAACATAAACTGAAGAATTTACTTTATATGAAACCTATAGTTTAAAGAATGGATAAGGTATTTTAAACTTAAAGAAATCTCAGAATCCTTTTCTAAAACCACAGTCTTACAGTGATGTCCCATTTACACAACCAATTTAAGTATGACTGCCGTTCTTCCCCATCCCCCCAACTTGTATGACTCTGGATGATCCCTGGACTGTGGGATGGGGCGGTGTGGAATAGCATATTTCATGGAACCTCAAAGACTTTTAGGAACCCATTTTGCAAACCATTTATGCATTCCATTAGGCTCTTTGAATGCTAGTAAAGCAAGTTGACACAGAACAAAGTAATTTGGTCTCTAGAGGCGGGATGAATCATAGAGACTTGTACATGAGATGCTAGTTTGTGAGGCTAGAAAGAGCCTTGTGATGCAAAGGTGACATGGAGGACTGAGATTCTAAGGGTCACTAATTTGGTCATTCACTCATTCTTCAAATACTCATTGAGGACATAGGCACTACCGGTTTTTGCCATCAGACCAGTGTGTGATAGACAGATGATTCCATTACTCCCTGATAAGACCTCTAATAGGGTTTACACTGGGTGCTCTGAGGTCAGAAAGGAGGAGCTCCAAACTCAGCCCTAAGGGGTCAGCCCCTCCTCTAGGAGGATGATAAGCGTAGGTTGATACAGCTTTATTCCCGCCCCCCGCCCCCTATGCTTGTAGGATGCCGTCTTTTTCACAAAGCAGCTTTTGGTGCACTGCTGTTCAGTGTGTCCCTCTTGGTTGCTCCTTCCCATTGACTGCCTGTTGCAGTTCATTTCCCATTCTCATGAGCCTCTCTGCTCCTGGCAAGTTTCTAGGCCTTACTCTGTTTAGACCCAGCACAGCTTTTTCCCTTGCTAAAGAATGATCTGTGGTCTCAATTTCCAATTACTGGTCACTCATAACCAATCTGTATCTGATCTGCTTCTCAGGCAGTTTCTTCTCTGGCTTCCTTTCCATGGCCTTTTCCTTTCAACAGTTGCCAAGTCCTGTAAGTTCTGGTTCTACAATCTCAGGAGCCTGTCCTCTCTTTTCGACTCTTATTTGGAATGCCCAGGTTCAGGCTCTCCTGACTTCTTGCTGAAATGGTGCAGAGCTCCCTAACTAAACTTCCTGCCTTTGTTGTCTCCTTCTAATTTATCCAAAACCAATACTGCCAGGTTAGTATAATGCAATGACGATCACTTTACTTCTCTGTTCCGAAAACTTGAAAGACTCCTGGTTGGGTAATGAAGTATTTAGAGATGCCTCAGTCTTGCACCAAGCTCTTCTATAATCAAGGCTTCATCTGCCACTTTTAGCTTTCTTACCTACTTCATCATTCTCTGGTCAAACTGTATTTTTTGACCCTTGGACAAACTTTTCTTGCTCTGTTCTTCTCTGTTCTTCTTATTCTTGCTGTCCCTGTAGCTGGGACTTTCTTCTTAGTACTTTTGTTTCAATACTACCAGCCCATTAAGACATGTCTGACATCCTGCCTCCTGAAATCATAATAATGACAAAGATGATGATAATCAGAGTAGTTAACATTTCTCAGGTGCTTATGCTGTAGAGATGTACATGAATTTTTTAATGAAGAGTTTTACATGAATTAATTAATTTTGTTCTCTCCACAATTCTAATGAGATAGATACCATTATTATTCCCACAATGTAGATGAGGAAATGAGGCACAGATTGGCTAAATGATTTGCTTAAGTTTGCATAGCTAGTAAATGGAGAATCTGGTATTCAGACCATGGCAGTCCAGTTCCAACAACATGTTTGTAACAACTTCACTCTTTTACTCTATAATTACTGCCTTTTCCTAAATGCTTATAAATGTATCTCACATTGTATAAAACATTTTCCCTGTGATCTTTCATTTTAAACCTGACAACAATCATCTGAGATAGACAATTATAAATGAGGTTGAGAGAGGTTCAGTAATATGTCCGAGGTGACTCAACAATAATGAGTAGAGCTTTAATTCAGACCTCAGCATTTTCTACTGCCAAGCCCATTCTCCTTGGGCCTTTACTGAGGTCTCTAATAGACGCTTCTCAACCATTGAAGTCCAATGAATTTCTCCTTATTATAAATTTCCCATATTTATAACCAGCCCAAACTACCAGCCAACAAGCAACCTGATAATATTCACCTTGTCTGTTGCTTTAGTCAATTTTATTAAAGTGAATAATGGGCAGGAAATTAGAACAGTGTGAGTGGTAGTGGCCAGCACATCAGATAAAGGATAGTGAGAGTTTAAAGGAGGAGCCTGGCTGTTAGATAGGTTTAGACTACAAGGGAATGGCTTGTTAAGGAGCAGCGGGAGTGGGAATAATGCAAAATGTGACGTGATGTTAGGTCTTTGGCAAATATTTGTAAGGCAAATCTCATGGTTTCTTCCTTTGTGTCCTTTAGCTTTTTATCCTAATTAAAAAATTTCTTTTAGGAAGTTCCTTACTTATGTTATGGATGTAAATATTTAAACAAGCTCAATGCATTCAGTCTAACTTCTCCATTTCCCTGGATTCAAAGCCTTGTTTCACTTTTAAGATGTGTAAACCAGATTAGCAGAAAGAAGATTTTTTTAAAGAAAACCAGTATCTTAGAGCTGCCATATCTCTTGAATGGTTACTAAAAAACGAGCTGTTAACTGGTGTATGGTGCTGCTCAAGCAAAAGTCAAAATGCCATTATTCATCAGAGAGATTAAGAAAAAGTGAGAAAGCCTCAGAACAGGTCTTTATAACCAACCTGCCCTTGCACCCACCCCCACCGCTCAGAACAGGTCTTTATAACGGACCTGCACTTCTACCCTCTCCACCCCCCTAAAAAAAACAACTCTGCAGGCTAAGAGGCCACCCACAGGAAAACATCTCTGGTGAACCTTGGTCATGAATTTGACCCTTCTATTGAATTATAGATGCAAGTTTTTAAAACATCCTAATTTAAGGTTCCCAAATACAAGACATGTAATTAAATTTGGATTTCAGATAAACAATGAATAATATTTTAGTGTAAGTATGTCCCATGCAGTATTTAGGATATGCATGTACTAAAACATTATATACATTGTTTATCTGAAACTCAAATTTAAATGAGCATTCTGTATTTCTTCTATCTGCTGAACCTGGCAACCCTACTCTAACTAGATTTGTTCTTAATAAATGTGAAACTGTCACAGAACAGAAACTTGTATATATTTATATGAGGAGATCAAGAACAATAAAGTTCTAATTATATTGGGAAAACAAGCCAAAAATGTCTAGGAAAACGAACTTGAATATGTGGTCACTTTCAAAGTAATTTCAGTAGCAGAAATTCCTTCTCTCTTTAAAAGAGACATTGAAGCTAATTGGAAATTGGTTTTAAGCCTTACATGGGCATTTCCCAAGGCTTTTAGCTGTAGACTAAATGAAATTCATTTGTTATTGCAATTCTACCTTGCTATTAACATAGGCATTAGGAAAGCAGTGCCAGCTCAGGGGGAACGTAAACAGATTGAACAGACATGTTTACAATATCGACAACAGCTGAATGTCGCCATCAGGAGATCGTCATTTGTCAGAGTGTGATGCTAATATGTGCTCAACTGCCAGCAAACCACAGCTACTCAAGTGCTGGTCAGAAATTAAGTTGGATGCCTTTCACATGTTTAAGACCAGAGCCTTGTGT